CACACACACACACACACACACACACACACACACACACACACACACACACACTGTCAAAAGCTCTTTCTCGCGAGGAGGCAGACATTAATGTGCCACAAATGGATAGAAGGAAAAGAGACTTTATGTGTGTGTGTGTGTGTGCGCGCGAAAAAATGCATACATACATTAGTATGCACACACACACACATTAAAAATACACCCACACACTGTTCACCAAGAGAAACACACACACACACAGCTCCACCAAACCCACCCTGCAACAAAACCACACACACACAACTCTAACCACACGCACACACACGTCAGTATGCATGCATGCATTCACAGCGAATCATCCGAGCGTTTCAGCACCCCCCCCCCCTCCCCCTTTTATTCATTTGTCCCTCCTCTCTGGGGAGCCTTCCACTGTCCCTCTCCTCTCGTCGCCATCGCTCTCATGTCTCATCCGAGGCAGCGCTTCCATACGTACAGAGCACTGAACATTTTGACTGAAAACAGGTAAAACACAAAGAACGTGCCGACGGTCCTGCGCCCACCCTTCTCTTTTCCAGCAAGGTCTCAAACTTCACATCCTGAACTTTGTTAAGCCTTGATAGATTTGTTGCTCTTTGGAGTAACAGTCATATTAAAAATAAAAAACTAATCAAAAAAATAAAAAATAAAAACGTAGATGTACAGTATATTTAAAAAAAAGAGAGACATGAAATAAACAGTCGTTTTTTTTTTAACAGCCAGGGCTGATCTTATAAACTGGGTCTGTTCAGGTTGGACAACGCCTCGAAGAGTATTTATTTGGTTCCTTTTAGAGACGTTTCGGCGCTCTGACTCTGTGCAACTCTGTTTTTATGTCTTATTACAGGGAAGGTTTAACAGCTTCAGCCTTTACTTGGAGAGAAGTGGCAGTCCAAACATTTACTGTGACTTTAAACAATTCAACTCTCAGCAGTCCAGCTTTTCATGCCACATAGACAATAAGGTGCTTGGAGGGGCTGGGGGGGACCTCCATAAGAACAAACAAAAACAAAGGCCGAATATATAAAATAAAATAAATTTAAAAAAGGGTTGTGCACTGGTACTTTTTTCAGGAAACGTTTTGGGACAACTGTAGCACGGATCTAACTACACAACCTGTGGCATTACTGATAATATCAGTCACTCTGTTAGTGTAAAGGTTCAACAACCTACTACAAGATAAACAATACAGATGTGTTTGTCTTTTTCAGTATGCCTCTAAAATAGTCAACATAAAATTATAAAGCCACTGACAGCTTACTGTTGTTAATTTTGACAGATAATTTTGCACAGTGACCAAAGCGCACTTGAGTCCTGTCCACATTAACGCAGATAGATTTGCAAAACACAAAGAAATTTGGGTACCACTTTACAACAAGGCTCCCATTATAGATGGCTTTTAAAGAGTTTATAGATAGGTTATTAATTTATCTATAAACACTTTATAATTTTTCAAAAAGTGTTTATAATGCCTTAATTAAGGTAAAAAAAGAGACAAAACTGGTTTCTTTCCAAATACTGAGCCAAATATGTTTGGTATTAAACATTTCAGACTAGTTTACTAACTTGTAGGTACAATAATAACTGTTAATAATAATGATTATTAGGAAACACATACTTTAACATATATTATTGTACTGTATTACTGCATTATAAATATCCAAAAGTATTAAAGGGATCCTTTTTGTAAAGTGTAAAACTGTACACTATTTTGGATGGGGTGGGACTATTTGGTGTGTTAATATTGTTGACAGTAGTTACATGTTTGGGCAAAAATTTCAAATATTGATATTCAACACCAAGTTTTAAAAATGAGGATTTTTCACAATAAAGACATTTTGGCATTTATAAATATTTATTTGTAATTATTTAAATAGTGTACTGTATTACACTTCGATAAGCCTCCCTTTGACAGTTGTGAATATTTATAATGCAGTAATACAGTACAATATTAATATATTAAAATATGTTTTTTTAATTGTTATTGTGCTTACAATGTAGTAACCTAGTCTGAAATGTTTATTAAGCACCTTTAGATGTAATATGTACGTGAACAGATTTGTCTCATTATTTGGTAAGAAACTGGACAGTTTTGTCTCTTTCTCATCCTTAATTATTACATAATAAACATTTTTTAATGATTTATAAAGTGTTTACAGACAAATTAATAACCTGTCTATAAACTCTTTATAAGCCATCTATAAGGGGAGCCTTATTGTAAAGTGGTATCGAAATTTGAAGTGGTGTAGTTGGGATCTTAATATAACCATGTATAAATAAGTCATCCTTGATTTTGCTAGATCTACCACAACATTCAATCTTCTTATGGAAGGATAATACATCAAAACTTTTTTTTCACATCTGGGGTCATATGATGAGTTTGACTACGATGAGTCTGTTATGTACATACTTTAAAAAACATTTCAAATTATATATAGAAATGTACACATTTGAACCTCAGCATGTCTAGTAATGTCAATATAATGTACTATAGAAAAAAATCCATATGACATTTCTGACTAAACCACGAGCTCATCTGGACCCTGTTCTGAGTTCCTCTTTGACATTTAGCTGATGATGACAGTTCAGTCACTGTGGGTTCTGAAGGTCACTTCTTAAATATCCAGCTCTGTTTCTTTTTTTCCTTCTAAATGATACAGTTCAGTCAGGGAAAATGGTTCTACGCCAAGTTTTTACTTTTCCACGACCTTGGATTTTTATGATCTAGCACACCACAAACAAAGCCAGGAGCTTCACTTATAAACCAGCTCAATAAACTTTCAATCAGTGCTGAGGACTTTCGCTATGATTAACAGCCACCAAGCCCCAAACTTACTTTAGCTGAATCTCATGTGTGCTTTGGTGTAAGTCCCCTTTAATTCCCACCTTGCTGTGGTGCACTGTGGCCGACAGCACCTAAACGTGTATTAGCTCACCGCAGCGAACGGTGAATGAATCGACCGAGCGTGTGTGAAAACACGCCGTCTGACTTCTGCGCGGCACACACAAAACACGCACACAAACAGTCCATTCAACACGCACACACACACACACACACACCTACACGTCCTCACAGAGCTGGGTTTCCTGCCAAGTATTAGCACGTTCGTTAATTCCAGGCGAGCACACAACTAGACAGCGGCGCCTGAGAAAACCTGCGCCGTTAACAGCTTGGCTGCAAATGTTTCATAATGATATCAGTTTAAACGTGAGCAGAGACAAATCCCTGCAGAACTGGTGAGCTCACAGGCAGAAAGTTGTTCTAAAAAAAAACAAAAAAAAAGTGGTAAACATATATAGAAGTTTGCTACCATTTTTTTCCTTTTTTGGATTTTTTTTTAAATAAAAACATCCCTCTTCTCCTTCTGATTCGTACAAAAACTTAGTTCGATTGTATTCATACCGCAGGAAATAACACAGTGCATTTATCTCACGCAAACTCTTTGACAATCACCTGTAACGTAACTCTTCACCCTCAGGAGCCTTGCCAAAAAGAACTCAAAATGGCAGCGACATCAAAAATAAAAAAGTAAAAATAAGGTGTCTTGTTAAGGGTTTCAAAATGGAAGCTGTTTGGGAATAAAAAGCCCAAGTAAAGGTTGGCATATAAGTATTAACATGTAACCAGCCAGTCAAAATCACTGCTTACCAATCAGAACTTTCTCTGAAAAAAAAAAAAAATGGCGGGTCAGTTTGTTCAGCTGGAATTTAAAAAGCAGGGTTCCATAAGATCATGAACCACTCTGATCTACACGGTCAGTTCGACCTCTGACCTCATCAGAGCAGCTTCCATCTCAGCCGTCAGCATGATACAAAGCAAAACAAAAAGCAAAGGAGGAGGGCTCAGCACAATCGCTCAGTCATCGCTGGCTTACATCGCTGCAATTCGGATGCTTCACCACGCATACATTCAATATCAAAACAACAGTGTTACCGGAGTTAAATGGGGTGGAGGAAATATCACGCTCCAAATAGGAATACCCCCCTCCCCTCCCCAGGGAATGTCTGTGATTGATTATGTTAAGTTTTTTGAAAAAGGGCCTTAGTGATAATACAAGCTTTAAAAAAAAGTTTGAAACAAAGAGGTTACAGAAAAATAAAGTTTTTTTTCTTCTTTTTTCTGGGTGGTAGGGGGAAGTGATGGTGGCTAGTTTTAACTCTGCTACCTGTCTTTGTTTTTCTGTCTTTCTCCACCAGAAGAACAACGAGGAACATTCTGAGTTGTGGAGAGAGACAAAACTAAAGACGGGGAAAAGAAGAAAAGCTCAAGAGACCGACCCAAAAGTAAAAAGCCCAAACAGATTCCTGACCACACGGCAGCTGGGGAGGGCGAGCGAAGACCACGGCGGCCATTGTTCTCGCCTCACCAATCCTCCCTCCATCGGGGTCCGTTCCGTCCGTCCGTTCCATCGCTCACTCAAAACAAAGTGCTGCCGTCTCCTCCTACCCCCTGGATGGTGTCCGCTGTCATGGCTCCGCCTCCGGCGTCGCCGTTGCTGGCGGCCGGCGCTGTCGTGACGGCGTCCAGGGAGGCGGGGTCGAACCCCTGCTCCACGCCCAGCGCTTCGGCCTCCATTTTCACGCTGTCGGCCAGGAAGGCAGAGTAGGCGTCGCTGTCGGCCATCAGCAGCTTCAGCTTGGGGATCCAGCTCTTGCGGACGACGCGGCGGGCGTTGGTGCACATGTCGGCAGCGATGGCGTTCATCTCGCTCTCCTTGAAGCTCGGTGCGAAGTTCTGGCAGTAGACTGGAGAAAAGGATCAAAGAGGGAACAAAGGGGATCTTAGTGCATCGATGGAAGGGCGACAACTTTTAGTTTTACTTCCAGAGTTGCAGCTTAGCACTATGGGAGCTTAAAAAAATCACTTCTTCATTCAGACCTCCACATTCTCCATCCGAACTGCCAAAACCAGCTTTCATTGTTGCAGCTGCGCGATAAGAATTGAGTAATTTTGTTTGCAGCTTTCTTCTTCCACCCGTTTTGTTACAACCCCACAGGAGAACTTTTCACCCCCCTCCGCATAAGAAATAATTATGTGATTGGTCAGAAGTTTGTGGGAGTGTTTGTTTACGCTGATGGTGCACTTTTCTTCAATTACTCCCTTCCAGAATCAGACTGTTGCACCAGACGGGAGCAGACGTTTATAAAAATAGTCAAATGGCCAAAACCTCATGGATGAAAACAGACGTCGTGAACGAGGGAATCTGTCTGACAAAAGGCGCGGCGTTTTAACCGGGAAAGACTTGCGGACAAAATAAAAGTGCATATCAATTTTTTTTTTTACAGTGTGTAGACTCCAGTGGGAAGAAACCCTGTGCTGTGAGGTTTCCCAGGAGCTCGGCGATGGGGCCTCGGGGCCATAAAAAGTGTGTGCGAAAATGAATGTCGAACAATCACACGACTGAGTTGACTGTTGGGCTTCAGATCGAGTCTACTGGACCCTTTATTCTCACCAGCACTGTCTGTGTGGGACTCACATTTGACAGCATGCAGCACTCTGTTGTCCAAAGGTTTACGGCTGGGGTCGTTGGTTGATGAGCGGATGCCAGTTCCACAACTGTTAGCCAGCGTGCTCCTGAACAAGTGCAGAAAATTTACCACAACGTGAACAATGTCAACAGAATTTCTGCTATTTTTCATGTTTACTAAACACAGATGAAATGCTGACTGGACTCTTGTGTGCCAAGTTGTTGAGCCCCTAAATATTCTAAATAATTTTGGTGTCAATACATCGATTGAATGATTAATGATTCAATTACATCCATCCATATCATCATCAGCATCATCTAACAAACTAGTTTATGATTGTATTAGATAAGCATGTGATATTGCATCGTATCGATGGCAGACTAGTGAACTGAAATGATTTGAAATCATATCGTGGCAGACTTTGTGATATCAAGAAACACTGTTTTATCATCCAAACAGATATATCATATCGTGAAAATATTTCTAACTTGGCTCTAGTTTTCACTCTCAGATCTCTCTCGACAAAAATTTAAGCAAGTATCCTCTTCTTATTTTTAAGTAAAACAATTGAACTGAGGGTTTTCTGTTTGCTTCATTCTTTAAGAAATTATAAATGAAAAAACTTAATAATACAGAGTATTACATAAGAATGAATGTTCTCTAAATTTTGTTTTTTTTAATCCTTTAGGTTATGTATGTTCTAAATGTTACATAAAACATAATTTGGTAAAAGGTCAGTTTTATGACTTTAAGACTAATTTGTTATATATGACCCATCACTTCAAAATGAGGAYTAAGTATAAAGTTGAGAAATAGGCAAATATAGTTTTGATTAAAACATTTGCAAAAATTGCATTTTGTCAAAACATAGTGAATAAATGCTTTATCGATGTATCATTTGGATGAACTGTCTGAAATAAAATCATAAAACAAAATTTTGAAGCACTTTTTTGGGCAGTAGCAACAAACAACCTGATTTTGAGGAAAAAGGCCTTAGTATTTTGAGATTTTCCCTGTGAGCTGGAAATGTTTTTATTTCTTTTCAACTGGAAAATCTCAATATTCAAATATTATTTGAAGTTTCTTCTTCATAATGACATTAAAAATTCCTCCTTAAAATTACATAAAATTAGGATTCAGACCAAGTGTTTTTGTATTATTGTAGCCAAAAAGACAAATTAAGTCATATCTCTGGATCCATATATCATATCAGAATGATCCAGGTGTCAAAATGTAGCTTTTAAAGCCAGTAATCTGAAAATGTGATTACTGTATTTATTCATATATAACACAATCATCACTTTTTGAGCTTTAAAAGCATAAAAAAATCTAATCATTAATAACCTGTGTATAATACCACCCCCCACCCCCCCACACACACACACTTTATGATGATTTTTTTTTGGGTTAAATTTCTAGTATTGTACACAAATAAATACAGTAGGTCATTTTGACCAAATTTGACTTAATCCTTATTTCAATATGATGGGTCACAAATGAATGTTTTCAGTTATTATTGACAGAAACTGGCCCTTGTCTGGGATCATCTTTTAAATTTTGGCTCCTTTATGTAACTGAGTTTGAAACCCTCGACTCAAAGGAACGCTAATCTACACTTTCTAAAGCCTCCCATGCCGTACTTTGATGATTCAGCATTTTCTTAAGTCAGTGTGTTTTTATTTAACACCTTTTACTGCAAGAATATAAATAAAGTTGTTTTAGCAAACAAAATCGATGGAAACGACAGCGACAGCTAATAAACAAATCTCAGACCCTGACCTGTCAAAGAACGCTGCCAGCAGCCGTCTGAGGAGCACTTTGTGGCGCGTGCCAGCGCTGACGTGGCAGTTCATGAGCTGGGCGCGGGAGATGAAGACCGACGTCCCGCTCACCAGCTCCAGCTTCTCGGCGGGGTCGCCTTCCTCGTACAGCTTTGGGTGGCAGCGGTTACCGATCTGGCTGATGAGCTCGGCGGGCAGCGATGCCAGGTCCTGCCGGGACCGCCCCCCTCTGCCTCCCCGTCCACCACCGGAATCAGGAGCCAAGTCTGGCAGAGCCTCAACTGGCTCCCCGACCACTGGGGATGAAAGAGAATTGTCATTACTGTTATTTGTTGCATTAAGGGCTGTTACTACAGGGTGCCACAGCTGCTTTTATGAATATAAAATAAGCTTTTTTTATTCCTTTTAGAAAATTATGTAAAATATTTCAAATCTTTCAATTAAATAGTGTTTTTAAATTGGCTGCATTAATTTTATTCACTGAACAAATACGTGCTGCTTTGAACAAAGTTCAAGTAACTGGTGCTGTATATACAGTATTTATTTTCGTAAAGCGTTTGACACAGTTGATCATTATACTCTTACAAAAGTTGATTTCTTTTCAACTTTCATCATCTGCAATACAAACGTTTTCCTCTTATTTGACTGATAGGTGTCAGGTTGTGAAACATGGAAGCTCTGTGTCCGGGTCTCTGCCCTGTTCCGTGGGAGTTCCGCAGGGTAGCATACTGGGCCCATTGCTTTTCCTATTAAACATAAATGACCTTCCAAAAATATTGAAGTATTCAAATATTTTAATGTATGCTGATGATACTATTCTTTTTTTTTTTGTCTGATTTCAATATTGAATCTATTAATACCACCCTACAAAGGAAGCTCATTCTGGCCGCTTGTATCCAAGATCTTGTTCTTTCGGTCATGAGCCAAAGCTCATGACCATAGATGAGGGTTGGAATGTAGACAGACCAGTAAATCAAGAGCTTTGCCTTTCGACTCAGCTCTTTCTTCACCACGACTGACCGAAGCAACGCCCTCATTACTGAGGACGAGGTCCCAATACGTCAATCCATCTCCTGCCCCATCCTACAATCACTCGTGAACAAGACACCCAGATACTTCAACTCCTCCACGTGAGACAGAGACTCTCTTCGACCCGGGGGGGTCATTCCATCCAAACTGTCCTCTTAGTTTTTCTTAATCTTTGACTGAACTTTTTATTTTACGCTACACTGCAATTTTTGCGAAACTTTGGATTTTAATTTAAAAAATCCATAAACTTAAGGCAGGTTGTGAAAAATCCTCCCCTCCTGGAATGTTTCCATAAACAAACTTTACAAAATGAATGGTTGCAGTAAGTGTTGTACACACCGGTGTGTTCCCCTCACCTGTAGCGCCGGCGTTCAGCATGCTGTACATGGTGTACATGTTGCAGATCTGTCTGTACTGCTCTTCGGCCGACTCGTCGGCTATGTCGTCCTCCTCCTCGTCGTCGTGGTAGCTGATGGGCGAGTCGCTGGTGTACATGCTCAGTGTGCCCGGACTCGTGCCCTCGGGGGTCCCGCCGCTGTTGTTGTTGTTGTTGTTGTTGTTTTGATTACTGTTGAGTCCGGTTCCCCCCACTGAGGTGGCACTGCCACTGCCCAGCAGGGCAGAATTGGCTGCCGGCCCTCGCCCGGAGCCGTCTTGCTGCAGGACGGTGGTGGAAGACGAGGAAAAAGAAGATGAGGAGTAGCGTGCGGCCTTCCTCATTCCACCTCCCCCGCCTCCTCCGGACCCTCCTCCCCCGTCTCGGCTTCCCCCCTCCCATAGCCGCTTGGCCACGGGAGTGCAGACCACAGAATACGGCGAGCCCTCCTGCTGTGAAGGAACAAAGGAGAGAACTGGTTAAATAGCACCTCCTGACTTGGACGAGAAATGCTGACAACTGCAGTAACAATGAAACATCGTAAAGCACTGAGGTTACAAGATCTGCCACCAGTTTTCTCAGGCAGAGGCAGATTTTAAACTGGGGGAGTCTAAAAAAACTTTTGTAAAAATATCACAGTCCCACACAGCCAAGAAAAGCTAATTTTATTCAAATATTGTAAAGTTGTTTTCAGCAGTACTTATTTTATAAAAATATAAACTCGAACTAGAGAAACACTCCTAAACACCTGAAGCGACTCATGTTTTAAGGTGACTGTTAAGAGTCTACCTGCTGCTGCTGTGGAGCTGGCTGAGGTGTGACGGGGGTCTGTTCAGTCTTCACTTTAGACACCAGGGGGAGGGGTGTCAGACAAGAGGCAGGCCTTCCCACAGCACCCACTCCACCCGTTTGAGTGACGGGACTCTGAGGCTCGGAGGACGGGGTCTCCTCGGCGTGGAGACCCTGGGAGTCGCAGCTTGGGGAGGAGACCTGGAAGTGAGGCAACACGAAGAAGGGGTTCATGTTTTAGGAGCACGCACAGCTTCTGGTGTTATTTTAGGTCCAAACAGCACTCCTGTGTTTGAATTTTATACGTTTATCGACTCAGAGCTTTTAGGATTAAATTAGATTCTACTGTTTGTTTGTTTGTTTGTTTGTTTGTTTTTCACTTCAATGTCTGGCAGATTTTGCAAAAAGCATATTCGTGTGGATGCTTATAGCAATTTAAACTTTTTGAGATATTTAGCTTTTTCTCCCACATTTTTCTCTTTGAAAATGAATGAAGCTGTTTTCATCATCCTTAAAACCCATATAAATGTTGATAAATCTTAACTGTACTATTTTTATTGTTTTCCTTTTTTTAATGTCTTTGTACTTTCAGCTTCCTTTGGCTTCTATTTGGCTAAATTTAGCTCTTTTCTGCTTTTTTAGATATCATTATCTAACCTTTTCTACTATTCTTATGCTAATTTAAACTTTTTATGCCTTTTTCAGTTGCTTTCTGCTGTTTTCAGAAGTTTTCTGGGTTTTTAGCTAATTATAGCTTTWTTCAGCTAAAGGTCACCATATTGTGATAATTTCAGCTACTTACTGTCAAAGTCAACAAGTATGGGCTCTTTCTGTTCCTTTGTGTTAATTTCAGCTATTTCAGCCACCTTTTAAAACCTATTTTTAAACTAGTTTCAACCTTTTTTTTTTTTTTTAGCTATTCAGCAAAAATCTTTCAGCATTAAGCATAAGCATATTGTTTATATTGTATAATGCCATTACTGTACCTCACTTGATTTATCATATAGAGATCTGGGGGAAAGCGTGTAAAACATTTACAAGACCCATTTTGTTATGCAAAAACGAGCTGTGAGAATTGTAGCAAGGAAACACTATCACCGTTCAATAATTTTCTTCAGTCAGTTGGGGCTTTTGAAGTTTGATGAGTTAGTCGACTGTAGGATTTTGTTACTTATGTATAAAGCCCATAAGAATGTACTGCCCTTTAACATACAATCAATTTTCGTAAAAGAGATAGCATATATCATTTGAAAGGAATTGAAATGTTTCTTAAACCAAAAATTAGAACAAATTTTAAGG